ATTATGTTCTGCCTTTTGAATTTGTTTATACTGTTATTTGGTGTTTTAATTGTTTAACTATTAAAATCCACAATTTAAATATGAACAGAGGAAATATAAGGTTGAAGTTTCTGATCAATGATTCATAAAAAAAACGTTGATTTTTTTTTGGTGCTATGTCTCCCTTTTAGATGGCTTATAAATAGCTTAGGTTATTGGTTCACCWGTAAACTTTTTGTAAATCATTAATAAGTGATTATTATGCAATAACTAAGGATGAGAAAAAGACAAAACTGTCTGGTTTCTTACCAAATAGTGAGCTGAATCTGTTCACGTACATATTACATCTAAGAGTTATATTAAACATTTCAGACTATGTTTATAAGCACGATGTATTAGAAACACATGTTTTATGTATTACTGCATTATACATATCCACAACTATCATAGGAAACCTGTTTTACACAATAAGGCACCCTATGACATTATGTTTATTAGTCATTAATAAATAGTGTTCCTAACGCAATAAACACTTTTTATTGATTTAAAAAGTGTTTCCAGAGGAATTGATAACCTATCTATAAATTATTTATAAGCCGAATAAGGGAGCCTTATTGTAAAGTGGTCCCATTTTTATTGTATAAAAAATGTATAAAGACAGGTTCAGAGCATTTTTAGCAGATTAATTATCATATGTATCTGTGCTATTGCTAACATTCCTTCCTATCTTTTGACATTTTCATCTATTTTTTTCCCAGGTTCGAGCCAGTGCCATCGCTCAAGATGCTGACCAGAACTATGACTATGCTTCCAACAGCGTTATCCTCCATCTGGACGCAGGTGACGAGGTTTACATTAAGCTGGACGGAGGCAAAGCCCACGGCGGCAACAACAACAAGTACAGCACCTTCTCTGGCTTCATCCTCTACGCAGACTGAGAGCAAACAGACACACAGAGACTGCTCGACAGGAAGGGACTCGAAGAAAGCGCTTCATGACAAGTGGGGGAGGCTTTGTGTGTGTTAAAAGCCCAGAATGCTTTCTAGTTTTCCTAATTCTCTCCATCATCACAGTCACCTCTGCTCCACATCCATCAGCCAAGACACCCAGGCTCCGCGGCCAAGTCTAGATGCAAAGCTCCCCGAGGACACACTGAGCCTGGCTAGCAGGTGGCGTGGGAGGAGTGGGATGTTCGATGGGCTGTTTTTTTTCTTTCTGCTGCGCTCCTTGCCATCTTACCGACGTGTCAGAACCTCCTCACTTTCAGCGTCTCTCCTCTTTAGCCCTGCTCCATCGCACACAAATATCAACGATAACGACAAACCCTGCAAAAGTGGATGATTTTCACCTCTTTGCTCCACGGCGGCAGCAGTCACCTCGACCTTTGCAGGACAGGACTGACTGAAACACGCCGTCTTGTTCCGTGCAATTTTACCTAGATTGTGATTTATTTTGTAGACATGCATACTTATTGTACACAAAAGAGATTTAGAACAAAAAAGATTATATTTGTCTTATGTGAAGATATCCTGTTTGAATGAGAGATGTTAGTTGTGATGCATATAAGAGATCTAACAGCTGGAAAAGAAATATATAAATTTCAGTATTCTATTGCAGTGGGTGTTTTCTTCATCATTGGGCAACTACTGTATATATTATTCATGTGGAGATTACATTCTGCACTTCTAATATATATAATAAAAGGAAACATGTCGTACTGACAATGCCCCCCTCACACCGTTTCTAATGCTGTCATGCAATGTCCTGCTGCTTTTTGGATTAAAAGCAAAGTTTAAATAATCTTTTCTTTGTTCTAGCTTTGTGTAAATGCTCTACTTGGCACAGCTAGCCATGTGAAGAAATAAATCTTGAGATTCGGAGGTAAACCGTTTGAGGAGCGCTGATCCGTTCTTCTTTGCTGTGAAGGTCTCCCAAGTTTTCTTGTGCAGAAAAAAATAAAATAAAATAAAAAATTCCATCTGGCTTCTGATTCGGAGGGGAAGAAAGTCACAAACATGCACAGAGGGGGGAAAAAACGACAGAAGTCTGCAAGAAAAGGGAGGTAATAAAAAAAGGCGTTCAAGCAGTTAACAGTAAGTGGGCAATTTTTCTGTTTCAGTCTCTCTGCTGGATGTCACCCATTCATTAGCTGCATATTCAGTGACATGAAGGCATTACGGTAAAAATTTGTCAACATGGCGCCCTGACAGCTTGCTCGATAATGAAACTGATTGGCTGAGTGAATTTGCCCATGATGACCGCACGTTTGAGTGTKCATGTGCGTATGTTTATGTGCATATCTGTGAGTGTTTGCATTCTTTCCGCATGTGCCGTGCCCCGACGACATCCTTCTTTTCCCAGAYTTTCAGTATTCTGTGCTACAGCCAACGACAGGTATTTAGCTCAGCAGCCAGTGAGATTGTGCTCTTTGGGGTGGAGCCTCTATAGAAAACGAAGAACAAACAGCTTGTAATTGAAATCTATGACTTGTTTATCTTATCTTTTGGAACTGTTGAATACATTTAAATAATAAATGGGAATTTTTTTGAGTGGCTTGTCTCGTGAGAATTCTTGAATCCCAAATATACCAATTAGGGAAAATGATCTTCAAAGGATTCCGAACGCCGTGTGAGACTAACTAGCTAAAGCAAACATTATGAGTGTAAAATTGTGTTTCTTGTTCCGTGTAAGCACTGAATCTTAATAATGGACTCTCAGAGCAAACAATAACAATAAAAAAAGGATCTAATCAGAATGCCCATCATCTCTGCTTTCTCTCAAAAGAGCAAAATATATTTAGGGTTAGGGGCATCCGGGGAGAGATGTGTGTGTTTCTCCTATTCTGGAGCTCGGAAAAGGTGCTGCTGAAGATAATAACCTTCCAACTTTAGCAACATCCCACTGGTGGAGTAAAAACATTTCTGAATGCAGATGAGTCCCTCAGAGATTGCAGGCTATTCCTTAGATGACAATCACTGTGTCTTTTAACAGACTCTCATAGACAGAGGCAAGATATACCCAGTCAGAGACTGCGGATGGAGGAGAAAAGGCGGGTAGAGGGAAGACTGAGCGAGATAGGCGAGAAGCAGAATACAGTTTGACAAAGACAGATGGAGACACAAGAGAAAGACTAGGCCAAAGAGAGAGGTAATGGGGAAGGAATAGATACGGAGGGAGGGAGGGTAAAGTGAAATCTAAGGAAGACAGACAGACAGCGAGGCAAGCTGGTGCCGATTTAGGGTGACGAGGGAGGAGCGCTGGATTGTTTTCAGGGTAGAGTGATTCCCCATAGGGACTGTGTAAGGTGTCAGGAGAGATTAGTGAGCGTGAAGCAGGAGGGCAGTGCTCGAGATAGCTGAGATTGGACAAGTGTCAAGGACTGGACATTCCTCAGACCTGCCAGGAATGGCATGTGACACTGTCTGCTCTGCCTTGAACTTAGGAGAGGAATTCACCCTGCTGCCCATCATTTTCTTCAACTATCGAACAAGTTAATCCTCCACACAACTCAGAAACTTTCTTTTTGTTCAGTTTTAATCATTGAGAAAAGGTAGACTGACATTAAATATTCTCAAATGGATGTTTTTTTTTCATTACATTATTCAAAGTGAATCGTTTACTACTTTTTAAAATGACCAACCACACAATTAGAACAATACAAATGATGACATCATATATTTTTGGTGGTGGGATGGTGGATTTAGAAATGTGTGTTGGTTGTTGAAGTCATATTTTCATTTACACATTTGTTTGTTTGTTTGCAGATGACGTGATGGTTTTTTGTAAAAGTTGGTGATAGTTCAGCAACTCCAGTGTTCAATCTACCAGTGAAACATTTCATGTTCCACAACATTAGAAACAAGCTCAAAGCATTAATAATCCACTAACATGTTTAAGAGCTGGAAGGTGGTTGTTTTAGTGAAACGCCACAGTCAAACATAATGTTACTGAAGAAACTTTAATTTGAGCAGCGTTTACAAAAAAAAAAGTATTTAAAACACTTTAAAGCACACCTTTCTGGATTTTATTGCCAAGATGTTTATGTTGTTCAACCATTAGGCTACTGAAGCATATTGGCTGATTATCCTTCAACATCAGGCTCTCACACGTGAATGTTTTTTAGGCTTTTACTGCAACAATTTCATATTTTTAATTTTGTATTCAACAGATCTGACTCTTACGGAGCCCACAGGGGGATATGGGGGAATTTTTAAAATTTTGCGTTCCCACGCAATACCTTTGAGTTCCCTCTRAAACGTTTGCATTCCCTCACAATARTTTTTTGCGTTCCCACGCAAACGTTTGTTTTGTATGAACTGAATTAAATCAGACTTTTATTTTGAAATATCTAGTTACCAAAAAAGGTTGTGTAGCC